GCTTATTCTATTAGTTACTTAGAGAGATGTATTGTAATCTCCCAAAATGATTGTGAATTCATCTATTTCTCTTTTAATTTTTGTCATTTTTTGGTTAATTTGATGCTACCTAATTAGGTGCATAGACATTTAGAATATTAATATCTTCCTGATGATATCAGTATTAAATATTCCTCTTTATTTCTACAAATGAGTTTTTCATTCAAGTCTATTTAAATAAAAGGAAATTTTTCTTTATAATTGGTGTTTACAAGTATATCTTTTCCTACCTTTCTACTTTGAGCCTTTCTATATCATGATCTTTAAGGCATACCTCTTATAAGCAACACGCATTTGTCATTTCCTTATTAATTATTCATGTATTTATTTTTATTTGTCTGACAATCTGATCTTTTATTTGGGATATTTAGTATATTTATCTTTAATGTAAATACAAAGTATTTGGGTTTCTAACATCTTACTATTTGTTCCACTCTTTTGATTTCTTTTTCTCTACTTTCTTGCCATTTTCTTAGATTAATTATTGATTTATTGTCATTTCATTTTCTCTTCTGTTAGCTTTGTAGTTAAACATTCTTTGACTAATCTTGTAGGGGTTACTTTATATTATAACATGCACTCTTAATTTATTATGTTAACTTCATTTCAGAACCATCACCCCACCTCCTGCAATTTTAGCTATTATTTTTATACATTTTTAATCATATATTTAAACTCTACAAGATATTATTACTCTTTTATAAAGATAAGCATTCTTTAGTCACCCACATGTTTACTTTATTCGTTGCTCTTTCTTCTAACATCTGCTAGATCCATCTGAGATAATTTTCTTTCTGGTAAGTTTGTTGCCAATGGAATAACATTTAAAAAATGTATTCATTTGGCTTTCATTTTTGAAGGATATATTCACTGTGTAAAGATATTAAATAGTCACTTTGAAGCACTTTGAAGATATTCTACTATCTCTGATTTCCATTATTTTTGTTGAAGAGTAAGGCAGTTCTGTTTTTGGTCGTTTGAAGGAAATATGTTTCTTTCTTCCAGCTACTTAATAGATTTTTTTCTTTGTATTCGTTTTTTTAGTAATTTGACTATAATGTGACTAGGAATGGCTTTCTTCTTATATATTTTGTTTGGAGATCGTCGTACAACTTGTCTGTGAGTTGATGTATTTTTACTGATTTAAGAAAATTCTTGAATATGACACTTTCATATATTGTTTCAGGCCAATCCTTTCCCTTTCTTCAGTGACCAGATTACACATATGTACAATTTTTCTATTGTGTGTGGCTCTTAGGTTTTGTTTTGCTGTTGTCATTGTTGCTCTATTTTTCATCCAGATTCTCTCCAATCTTCCACCTAGATATAGTCTAGATTCAGTTTCTAATCTTCTTTAGCTGTCCTATCAAAATTCTAAGCCCATCTATTGCGCTCCAGTCTTCGGATGTTGTATATTTCAATTCTGGAATCTCTATTTGATTTTTAAAAAAGATTTGTATTCTCTGCTGACCTTCTCCATTTTGTCCTTGATTTTCTTAAACATAGTAATTGCAGTTACATAAAAGTCTGTGACAGATACCTACATTATTTTCATCTACCAAGAGTCTGTTTCTTTTGTCTTTTTTTCTCTTGATGTTCAGCTATTTGATATTTTCTTCTGGTAATTTTTGATGTCATGCCAAATACTCCTTATAGAAAAACTGTAGAGAAAATTTGAGTCCTATATTTTATGAACATCCTACAGAAAAATTTGCCTTTGCTTCTGGCAGACAGTTAAGCTAGAGGCAAATTATTTTACCTAAAATAGGAATTTGTTGTTTCACAGTTGGTTTTCAGTCTTTTTGAAAGTTAGCTTGTTTTTGATTAGTCTTTGCTCCTCTAGGTTGCAGCCCTTTTGATGTCACATCTGAAATCATGAGTGTTTACCAGGATGCCTCTGTAGTGTATTTTGAACACTAACTTTTATCTTCCCAACTCTTTGAGACTTCTAAAAGTCTTTTCAGTGCTGCCTAGAAATCAGTAAATGCCTTGAAGGGAAATGCAGAGGTGAATCGCAAGCTCATGTTTTTTTGTTGATCATGGCTCATCAAGTTGTTGCTATGCTGATAGGTCTCCAATTCTTCCAAACACACGCACATACATTATATATATATAATTAGCTTTTGCGATTGTTTTGTGTAAGCAGGAAGAGTTGTGCTTATAATGGCTTGTCTATCATAGTTGTAGGAAGAGTTGTTCATACTCTTAATCACCTCTGTATGTTGCTTCTTAATAGGAAATTCAAGATAAAACCCACTCCTTCAAGAATTTACAATCTAGTTTGGAGAAAAACTCATAAAGATAACTCTTTTCTAACAGTAGAACATGACAATATAGTTAGCACTAAACTAAGTTAAAAGGATATGAGAACTTTTCGAGGCCACGGGCCATGCTTAATTAATTTTTATATCCTAAGTGAATGCTTGATAAATTTGTTAAATTGAATGGACATGAATACAAGTACTCTAGGAGTTTAGAGTAGAATAAAAAGATTGTGCAAGCTACAGTATCCAAGCAGGATTAACTAGATCATATCTTGGTAGATGTGTAAGGCTTGGTTTGATTGAAGGGAGAAGAAACTCAGTTAAGTTATAGGAGAAAGCATGTGGCAAGCCTGAAGGTAAAAGCTGGCAGGCATAGGAGACAATGAGAAAACCAGTCTGTCTATAACAAAAGATTTATTTTAAGGAGTAAGTACTAGATGGATAGAGTGGAGCCATATGATGGGAAATGAGAAGTACTAGATTGTGGGATATTAATTTTCTTCTATTGGCAAAATGGTTTCACAGTACAGTTGACCCTGGAACAATACAGGATTAGGGGCACTGACCCCCCATGCAGTCAAAAATCAGCATATAATGTTTGACTCCCTCCGAATTACTAATAGTCTACTGTTGACCAGAAGCCTTACTGATAACAGAAATAGTCAATACACATATTATATATGTATTACATACTGTATTCTTACTGTAAAGTAAGCTAGAGAAAAGAAAATGTGATTAAGAAAATCATAAGGAAGAGAAAATACACTTACAGTATTGACTGAAAAAAAAATCTGCATATAAGGGGACCCACGTAGTTCAAACCCTTTTTATTCAAGGACCAACTGTATTTCCATGGAATGTTAACAGAAGTTAAGCCAAAAAGAAATAAATAAAAAAGACATTGAGGTTTGGGAACCACTGGTTTAAACAGATTTGTTTACTGCAAGATTTCTTCGAATCTTTAAAGTATACATTGAGAATTTGCAAAATTGCTTAAACTCAGCACACTTGTGCCTTTATAGGAATAGTGCTTCTTGGAACTTATTTTGGGAAGTTGGGATATGTGAGCATTGAGGAAACACTTGCTGGAATGGTACACTGGCATTAAAGGCCCATGAAAGCTGGGGCTTTTTTGGTATTCACAGTTCTACTACTTGCACTCAGAACATCTAGCAAAAGTACTTTCTCAGTATATATCAGTTGAATGAATTGTTGGTTTTGGTGGATAAAGGAAGAATTAGATCAGGGTGAAGTCAGTTTTCTAGCAAGATTAATATGATATAGGATGGACTATAGGGGAATGAGGCTAGGAACTAAAATACCAAAAAGGAACCTGATAAGGGTGTCCAGACCTAAGAGTTTTTTTTTCTTGGACTGTGGTGATATCCTTGAAAATAGAAACTAAAAAGGATAACAGTGATATTTTGTAAAGAGAATTGATAAGATCTGGTGATAAGTGAGATGAAGCAGGAAGGAAGCTCTTAAGGTACTCAAAGAGTACAGATGGTTCTGAGGGTGATGGAGTCACTGGGGAAGAATGAATTTGTACAAGACTTCATTCTATTTCCTTCAGGTAGCCTAATGATCTGATTCATGTGGTCATGAAGAAAATATCTAATTCAATGAAATTTCATCTTGTGTTTGAGAATTTTCTGTGTAGAAAATATCACAAGTTTTCAAACAGTGAAGCTAGCGGTGGGAGAGTTTGAGTGAAAACTACAGAAAAAAAACCTACTTAAAATCACACTGAGTTTGAGTGAGAGCAAACATAGTGTACAAAAATTCTGACTTAGCCCACAAGGAGACATTTTCCCAGTTTATTAATTCTCTGATATCTACATATAAAGTATGTTAATTAAATATTTGAAATTTATGGTAATGAAGATTGAGTAATTATTTAGAACTACTTCTTTTCTAAAAGAAAGTAGAGTATTCTAGGATTATAACAAGTGGGCTTTGGATTTGGGAAATGAATAGGCTATGCACTTGAAAGTGTAGGTTGTGTAGTCTAGACATGCTAAGAGTCAAAACCTAGGCAAATCCAGACCACCACCATAACCCTTTATCAAATTAAACGAGTCCCAAGGAAGCTGACTTCTCCAGCTCAGAACAGGCAATGGATGGAATGGAAGCAGCTCAGACTTCAGACTCACAGACTTAGATTTAAATCCTAGGGGGAATGAATTTTTTCTTACCTTTTAGTCTACTTATCCATAAGCTAGGAATAATAATTATCTCATAGGTTAGTGGTAAGGATTAAATAAGACGTAAAATAACTAGTACTATAAACACTATGCATACCTACATACATCAGTGAATGAACTGTGTTATAGTCCCTTGAATTCACCTTCTACTTACCAACCAGATTTGCTTTCCATCTAAAAGTTATGTGTCCATTGGTAGTGCATCTAGGGATCTTGAAAGATGCTACATTTGTGATGATGGCAATTAGGAATGCTAATAAACTTGATGTAATAATGATTGCCAGAAAAATATTCAAAAGTATTTTCAAAGATTTTATGTGTAATGTATAGTAGTTATAAGGGTCAAGTGTTGGTGAGGCTAGAAGAAAAATCATCCTGCTGGAAAAATTGTAAGTATGTAGGTAGTTATATCAAGATTCCAAATGAAGTGAATCTAAATAGCAAAACATGGTTTTTATTCATTGTAGCTAACATCTCTTTTCTATTATACCAGTGAGAAGAAGCTCATTACAGATGCTCTTAATAAAAATCAGTTTTTGAAGAGACTGGATCCTCAGCAGATTAAAGACATGGTGGAATGCATGTATGGAAGAAACTACCAGCAAGGGAGTTACATTATTAAACAAGGAGAACCAGGAAACCACATCTTCGTGCTGGCAGGTGGGTTTCACAGATTTTTCCAGTTACCGTATAATAAATATTTTGCCTATAGTCTTATGATTTTTGCAAACGTATATAAAAATGCGAAACAGTTTGTTCTGTTTGTAAAAAATGTAACAGATTGAGTTCATGAAATAGTAATAGTGATCTAATCATGATGATAATATTTACTGAATGCTTTCTATTTGTCAAGCATCTCGTGAGCACTTAATAGAGAGATCTCATTTCATCTTCTCATCAACTTTATTAGGCAAATGCTATTATTTCCATGTTGCTAATATAGACTATGTCACAGAGAGGTTAGCCAAGGCCGCACAGGTCCTAAGTGGTAGAGGCGGGATACAAACTTAGGCAATCAGACTCAAGAATCCACTCACTCAACAACTACGAAAAGTTGTTTCCATTAAAACTGTTGCTTGTGTTGACATTTTTAGGTGGTTGTACCAGAAAAATAAAAACAATTATATTTCTGGTCCTGTAAAATATTTTGGTTATATACCAATGATTTAAAAAGATAATTTAGGTACATTTAGCTAACAGACAAATCAAATGGAATGCCTTAAAATAAAAATTGGTGTATTTAGAATCACTCAAATGACTTCCTTTATATATGATCACTTGAATATGCTTATATGCTGAAAAGATTATAATAGATGGACAAAGGATTTATTTCTCAAATGCATGTCAAATGCATAAGTCTAACAGTGATACACAAAAACATTTTTTTTTTAAGATATAGAAGTAAGAAATTATCTGAATAAGGCTTATGGTTATTGAATGTTCTGTCAAATTCTGAATTGCCCTAACTTTTTGAGTTTTAAGGAAAAAAGGTAAACTGGCTTACCCAGATAGAGTGGTAACTTGAGATGCCCCGTGGCCTTCTATTCAGCATTATAGTTCCTGGCAATCTAAGCAATGCATTTTTTCTTTTTTTTCCTTTTTATTCATTCATTCATTCATTCATTCATTCATTTAGTTAGTTAGTTTATTGGGGTAACTGGTTAATACAATTATATAGTTTTCAGGTGTACATTATAATTTGACATCTGTATATTCTATTGTGTGTTTACCACCCAAAGTCCAGTTTCCTTCAGCTACCATATATTTGATCCCCTTTACGTACTCCACCCTCCCCTACCCCCCTATATTTGACCCCTTTTACCCCGTCTACCTCCCCCCTCCTTTTCCACCCCTTACCTTCTGATAACCACTAGTCTATAGTCCATGTCCATGAGTCTCTGTTTGTACTGTTCATTTGTTGCTTTTAGGTTTATATCCCACATAAAAGTGATATTATGTGATTTTCAACTTTTTCTGTATGGCTTATTTTGCTTAGCATGATTATCTCAAGGCCCATCCATGTTGTTGCAAATGGCAGTATTTCATCTCTTCTTATGGCTGAGTAATATTCCATTGTATATATGTACCACAGCTCCTTTAGCCAATCATCTATTGTAGGACACTTCGGTTGCTTTCATGTCCTGGCCACTGTGAATAATGCTAAGCAATGCTTTTTTAAAATTTATTTTAAAATTACTTTTATTATAGCCTCAGTTAAACTTATATAAACATAATACAAGCACATTTAGACATATCTCTTAAACAACAAGAACCCCAGAATAAATGTATAAGATGAATATTAACTAAAATTACAGACCAATACAATTTAAGTTAACATTTATGTGATGGATGATATTTAGTTTTCGCAAAGTCACTTTTTACAATTAGACTCTGAGTCTGGCATGTTCCAGTGAACAAATGCTAATTCAGTGATCTTGCCACTTCCTAAGCAATGCTTTTATGATTCTTATTTACTTGGAGTCATAAGTGAGGGGCAGAAGTTGCCTATCCAAATAAATTAATAAACATATGTTATTCTAATTGTAGTATATAAAATATTATCTTTATATACTTTGATTTTTTTAAACAACCCAGTTTCATAATTATTGGTTTGTATTTTGCTGTCTACATCTTTGTAGGCACTCTTAAAATTATACAGTCATTTCCAAGTAATTGTTTTACCCAAGAAGCGAACTATAGGCTTAATTTAGCCAGCCTTCAAGTTTTGGGGGATAGGTGATCCAGAGAAATTTTTTGCCTCTCTCAGTTTTTCTCTTGGCCATTTCACTTCTATTTTAGCAACACTAGAACATTCTAGCAAGAGAAGATAGACCATTAAGTCAACAAATATTTGTGGAACCTGCTAGGAAAGGATGAGAAACTCATATCTGCCCATCTTGTTCCTTGCCAGTAAGTGATGAAAGACTTAGGGAGAGAAGAGTTTGAGCAGAAGTCAGCATTAATACAGCCATTCAAATCATGGCTATAGCACACATGGAAATGAAAATGGGACAGTTTCTTGTTTGAATTAAGAACTGAGTTGCCTGATTTAATTGATTGACCAAATTAATTTATTAATTAAAAATCTCCCTTTATAAAATATAGAATAAATAGCAAATAGTAAATTATATTTAGCTTAAATGTTTGATATTCTATATATTTCTTCAGTATTGCTCATCCTATGAGCCATAACCAATTAGAAAAAAAACTTGAAATGCATTAAGATCCATGAAACCAACTTGACAGTACCATTAAGTGGTTTGAATGGAAAAGAATTTAGTTGTAATAAGAAGTTATTAATTTTTTTCATATCTAATTAGTAGGATTTGGAGCTAAAACAGACTTTATTTATTACTAGATTGTAAGTTCTATCAGAATCAATATCTTTTCTGTTTTGTCCACTCTGTCTCTCTGGTACTTAGACCAATTCCTGGTAAAACCTAGGTGCTCACCTCAGATTTGTTGATAGGACAGATGGATCGAGACGATCTAGAGATACTTAGCGGTGAGTTAGAGAAGGAATTTCTGCAAGAGAAAGAGCATAACTCCACCATTTGTCTTCCTCTGAGAAAATAGGTCTTTTTTGCATATGATTTTGGTTAGGTAAGATTTTATCTGCATTCGTTCAATGGGAAAGGAGAATAGAATTTCCAGGGAGGAAAATTGTGAGGAGGTCGTCCGAAGTGCTGCCTCTTCTTCCCCCACCTTTGCCTAAAAAAGATTACTGTCAAGCATTCTTCTTTTTTTTAAGACTGTTTTTTTTTTTTTAAAGAATAGTTTTAGTTTTACCAAAAAAAAAAAAACAACAAAAAAAACAAAAAAGAGAGAGAGGGAAATGTAGAAATTCTCCATATATCCCCTACCCCCCACATATCTATAGCATTTCCTGTTATCAGCATTACTCACCAGAGTGGTACATTTTTAAAAATTGTTTTAATTAATTAAAACCAATGATGGACATATATTGATGCATCCTAACCTCCCATAGTTCACAGTTTATCTTAGGGTTCATTCTTGGTATTCTTCATTCTATGGGTTTAGACAAATGTATAATGACATGCATTGTTCTTTATAATATCATACAGAGCATTTTCATTGTCCTAAAAATCCTCCATACTCTGCTTATTCATCTCCTTTCATTCTACCCCTGACAAGCATTCATCTTTTTTTCACCATAGTTTTCCATTTTCCACAATGTCATACAGTTGGAATCATACAGTATGTAGCCTTTTCAGATTGGCTTCTTTCACTTAGTAACATGCATTTAAGATTCCTCCATATCTTTTCATGGTTTGATAGCTCATTTATTTTTAGCACTGAATAATATTCCATTGTCTGGATGTACCACTGTTTATTTATCTAGTCACCTAATAGAGGACATTTTGGTTGCTTCCAAATTTTGGCAATTATGGTTAAGCTGCCATAAAAAATCCATGTTTAGGTTTTTGTGTGGACATAAGTTCTTATGAGTAAATATCAAGTAGTGTGATTGCTGGATTGTGTGGTAAGAGTATGTTTAGTTTTATAAGAAACCACCAAACTCTCTTCCAAAAGGGCTGTACCAGATGGCATTCTCACCAAAAATATATGAGTGTTACTTTTACTCCACATCCTTGTCAGCATTTGGTGTTGTCAGTTTTCTGGATTTTGGTTATTCTAATAGGTGTGTAGTGGTACCTTTTTTTAATTTACATTTCCCTGATAACATATGATGTGGAGTGTCTTTTCATATGATTATTTGCTACCTGTATATCTTCTTTGGTGAGCGTCTGTTAAGGTTTTTGGTCCATTTTTCAGCTAGGTTGTTCATTTTAAGAGTTTTAAGAGTTCTTTATATATTTTATACAACAGTCATGTATCAGATGTGTCTTTTGCAGTTTGTGCTTTGTCTTCTGATTCCCTTGATATTGTCTTTCTCAAGCACTCTTCTCAGTGACTTCCACTTATTAGTTCATTTCAGTGAACAAGGGGTTACTGTGGTATAGTAAAGTAACTTACCCAAGGCACACAGCCTTGACTAGTCAGAACCAGGCAGTCTGACTGCAGGGCCAGGGCACTTCTTAGTTATGACAAGTTCGTCCTTCTATCAGTGTGAACAGCTTTGTTGTGTTTTCAAGACATGCAGTAATTATTGTGTTTCTTATACAAGAGAAATCGTTTTATGTGCTACATTTTTTATGGGGTAGAATGAATTTTAAATAAAACACTTGCCATCCACTGCTCAGAGGAAGAATTTTGTAACAGTGATAATATTAACAATAGCTAACACTTAATGGCATTTACTATGTGTGAGCCATTGTTTTAAGTTCTCTACCTATATTAATTTCTTTATATTGCACAACAAACACGTGAAGTAAATATTATTATTATCCCCATTATTGACAAGGAACCTCAAGCAGAGAGGGTAACTCTCTCAAGACAAACCAGCTAAAAGTGGCAGAACTGGTTTTAGTCTGCATTCTTAAACACTTTATTATAATGAGAATCATAAGATACCTTAACTGTATGCTTTGTGTAATTTCTGATTTTTTTTTAATTTATGGAATTCAGGAAGATTTTGATTATTATTATTTTTAATTCTACTTGATAGAGGGCCGATTAGAGGTATTCCAAGGGGAGAAATTGCTATCATCCATCCCTATGTGGACCACGTTTGGGGAACTAGCCATTTTATACAACTGTACAAGGACCGCCTCTGTGAAAGGTAACAGGAGATGAAATGCTGTATTTTTAAATTGTTATACGATGTTAAAGATAATCTAGTAGAGTCACTATTGCATCCTGATTCAGTCTATTTTGTCTCCCATTGTGACCCATATACTCTTATTAATAGAAATGCTATGCTTATAAAAGGATTTATATTGAAGCACTTGCCAAAGTAAGTCAAGTTTTAAAGAACTTTTTCATTGGATACCTGTATATAAAGTATGAACATGGCTTTAAACTAAATGATTTCAATATTTGCTTTAATTACTATTTCACTTTTTTACTGTGTAGATGTCTACCACTCACTCATCCAGAATGTTTGGTTTCCATTCTCTATGAGATTCTGGCCATATTATAAACCAAAAAAATTAATTAAACCAATGAAAATGTATAAATATCAAAAGGGATATGAGGTAATTGATTAATGAGAGTTTTCATGAATGACTTTTGAGATTAGTTTAAAAGTTTCTTCTTAAGTTTTGACTTTATTCAATCTTGAGTTTTCTTCTGAGTTACTTAGATGTGGTGTTTCTCAGGGTTTGGGACTGGGTGACAGGTCTCAGCACTGCTGCAGTATTTGATAGAAATGCAGATTCAGGGTCTCACACTAAACCTGAATCAGAATCTCTGGCAATGGGGCCCAGGGATCTGTATTTTTAAGAAGAATGTCACGATGACTGATTCACTCAGAGATCCTTAAACTGTATTGGCTCTCTTTACCAACAGTCTAAAAAACATAAAAAGACACAAAAACATACTCATACACCCAGAGATCTTTAACTTTCAATTATCTGCTTATAAATTCTTCATTCTCTGGATTAACAACAGGCTGACTGGCTTTCTCTTGTGTCACAGCACAAGTCTGAAACATATCCTGCATAATTGGGAATTGCAAACTAACTTTAATATCATCCTAAGGAAAACATAATTAGAAAGGAAATCTTTTGCTACTCAATTCCAAACCATGGTTCATATCAAAGCCAAAAATGATTTTATAAAATTATCTACTATTTATATCACTGCTGCTTTTTATTTGCATTTTTAATAATGCATTTTTCCAAGAACTACTATTTTTGAGAACATAAAAATTTATTGATTAACATTTTTCTATGTTTTCTTAATATAGGGCTAAATAATATTTTATCATTTTCTTGATTTTTTTCCTAAAGCTATTACCAGTGCTAAAACTTGGGCACTAGATCGAGAGGTATTCCAGAATATAATGAGAAGGACAGCTCAAGCTAGAGATGAACAGTACAGAAACTTTCTCAGAAGGTAAGAATAATACATTGTATAAAAGAGAAGATGATGTAGCCATATTGTGGATATGTTGGTTTTATCAGATTATTTCATCATAGCTTCTCTTAGAAATTTTCTGCACGATTAAACCTAGAAGTATTTCTTTGCCGTAAATGCCACTATATATAAAAAATTATATTTAATTCCCATTAGCCTTGTACACTGATTTCTTTTGCTAATTTTGCATTATATTGATGGAGTCGTTGAATGTAATATAGAAAAATGTGCTAAAAATCCTAAAATAGTCACATGAGTTGCTCAGTTGACTTTGAAAAATACCCTATATTTTGGAAGAAGGTAGCAAAAGATAATCTTTCTAATAATGCTTTACTTAGAATAATATTAACATTCATTTATTTTATTATCCTTACTTGCTTTACCTGAGACGTTCTTTTTCTTGGGTAAAGAATAGCCGCACCATTGCCTAGCTACACCGTCTTCCAGATTATTATATTTATAGGAAATGAACATGCCAAAAATGTTACTATGCTTGCCATGATGGCATGGAACCTTGGAACACGCTTGGTTGTGAACTGCTTTATACCTCTATTTAGATACATCAAATTATAGAGAAACAAATACCCACATAAGTGGAAAAGTCAGTTATACATTAAAAATGTTTCTTAGAAAGTATGTTCCATATTTAAACTATCTCTGTGTCTTTTGTGGGAGTTTTGACAGTCTCTGAAACTGTAATACATACTGTAATGAGGTGTTACCTATGACAAGTAGTAATAATAAAAAATCTCACAGTTTCCAAAATTAAATTCTAAGTTCTTTTTAAGTATAGTAATTTTATCTTGCATAATTAGCCTGCAGAACCAATGATTTTAGGGCTGTACAGGGCCTTGAATATAGTGAGGACACAATAAATGTTGAATGAACGCATTGTTGATCAGTGGAACATTGCAGGTGTTGAGGTTTCTCATAGAGAATCTTTCTGATTTACTCTCCCAGAGTCAACAATGACTCCTGGTAGAGCTGCAGTAATGATAAGCAGGTGCCTTACCTTTATACCAACCAACCAATGCTTTAGCAATTTAGGGTCTACGTGGATATAGGGGATCTCAAAATCCAACAACTGAGCAACACAAGTCAGCATTTAAAGCTAATGAACTGCACTTATGCAAGGGCAAAAAAAGGATAAATAAATAAACCAGTGTCCATGGGTTGCATTTGAATGTCAGATAAAACCTGAAACTCTAGGTGTAGCAGTTCATTCCGTTGGAGTCTAGTATGTTCTCTTAGTGGCAGGAGCTCAGAGAATTTACTAGTACATATTTCTTCCTTCTTTTCTTCTTCCTTTTGTTATCTCATTCATGCATTCAGTCAACAATTACTTCTTGCCAAGCCCTAAACATTGTGGATTCAGTGGTGAACATGATAAACCTGCTCTCTGCCTTCATGGAGGGGAGACAGACAAAAGATTTTTCCTCACATCAATTTCCTCACCAATCCCCAAAGGTATTAGTTTACAGGGGAGAATTTTCACTGACATCATAGATCCCAGTGTGGACTAGAAGTAGAACTTTCATGACAGGCATGTGTTAATCAATGATGAATTCTGGTTACTCTTTTACTTTTTCATTAATGGGGAGACATATCAGAGAAATACATTTCTATTTGTTTCATAATACACAGTAAGCTCTTTCTTTTTCCACTTATATCTTTTTACTATGAAGTATATGATGTCTATAAATGACACATAGTACATAGTGTAATTTATAAAACATAATAACAAGATGAGCACATCAAGTTACTGTTCAATCCAAGAAGCAGAAAGTTAGCAGTGTAGTTGGAGTTCTCATGTGCTATCCCATGTCTTTTCATTTCATGAATATTTGGAATAGCATCATTTTTTCCTTAGAGGTGTTAAATTTTAGATGGTAAGAAAGACATATTTATCTTATAGAAATCTTATTAACAGACCTGAGTAAAAGTGGGTATTGTCGAGGAGAAATTTCTTTAATAGAACAATTTAATCATATTAATTGGTTAATCATACTGAGTGGAATTTCTGATTTTTTTAAAAAATAATTTTTAATATTCTATTTCATTTTTTCTGTATTATTATTTGTAAAGATATTTCTATTACATGCCTCTGGCTGTCATTACTTTTAAAAGACAGCATAGTATAACTAATAATCAAAGATCATTTCCATGCTAATTCCTATATTCCCCCCTGGATTCAGTCTTTACTTAATTACAAGGAGTTAGATGAAAATCTTATCCCCCTTCTGGAAGCAGAGCTCTTCACCCATGCTAATAAAAGAAATATTGAGATGTGGAGAGAAACACATTTCTAGAAGTGATTCACTTTGAAAATGAACAAGAAATGTAATGGTTTTTTTTCCCCCAAATAGACAAAATTTGATTTTCTTCTTTATGCTATCTTATTTTTATTTGACTATGATAAATGTCTGAGATTATATGTGTTTACATAATTTTAATGTATTTGAAATTCAGTTATTTATGTGTAATACATTTGGAGGTTTACTTTGGAAAAATGAAAGTGCATTTTTTAAATGAATGTAAAGATTTTAAAATATATGTATAGGTATTTATAGTTTAATTCGGGAAGATAATGAAATAAATGTTTCTTTTTAATTTTGAAGTGTATCCTTGCTGAAGAATTTACCTGAAGACAAATTAACCAAGATCATTGACTGCTTGGAAGTGGTAAGAAATTTTAAAGCAAAAAATATATTTCGTCAAGAGATTGTATAATCTAGTCATTATTAGCACTGTAAATGAATAAAAAGGAAAAGATGGTACATCACCAGTCTACTGAGACAAGGAGGTTTTTTCTATAGTGAAAAATGTTAGGCCAATTCACACTGAATTAAGGGGCTGAGACAGCTTTAGGCAACTCTTATGAAATGTATAAAAGGAAATTGGATTTGCATATGTAAAGTGACATTCGATTTACATATTTTAATCTTTTTAGTATATTTCATAAAATTAATCTGCCTTACTCAAGAAGCATTTGATTTTCTGCAGTTAACACCACAATCTCTTCTAGTTTGCATAGTATAAAGGATTCAGTGATACATAATTGGGAAATGGAGTAGAGAAATGGTATATTGCAGCTTTTGGTGACAGGCTTTTGAATTAGGTTATGAAATGCTCCATACTTGAAAACTCTATGTCATGAAATGACACTAGAAAAAAAAAACCAATTCTAATTGTTTATAGGGAGGGAGGAGGTAGATGGGATAAAAGGGGTCAAATATGTAAAATAAATAAATTTTTAAAAAATAAAAATAAATAATAATAATAAAAGAACCTGCACTTAAGAAGCACTTTACTTATTTTAATATCTAGGGGAAAATGGCATGTTGGAATGTATTAAAAAGCTCATATTAGGCATCACCTTGATGATTGGTTATAGTCCAAGACTAGTCACGTCTTTTTGTGAATAAGGCATTTAGGACATGTTCTTTGGATTCTAATGATATGTATTATATAAAAATCTCTTCGGATTTCACAGATTAAAATCCAAAGCAAATAACCTCTCCCTAATTGAAACCAAAACGGCTTTTCCGGGACTTAAAGGAATTTAAGGCATAGTAAAGAAGTCCCATGTAGACTCTAAGCTTTATAAAGCTGTTCTCAGCAGGAGACTAAATAAATAAATAAATAAACCCTACAAGATTGATATTGACAGACAGATTCATTCCTCTGTCAATCACAATATACAATGTAAACTAATACCTGTTGAGAAGGGAGCACTAACCATTTTATTCCTAAGTGTGACACCAGTAATGTTTCCATTTACAATTCATGGACCCCATCTAGTAGTTTATCAAGGACGGGCCATGATGACACAGTGCCTGGTCTTGTGTCCCCAGAGTGTTCAGATATGAAGTCATTTTCAAGAGGACTGCTTGCCCTGCATCTCTTGGGATTTTCCCAATGTAATATAACCCAATGACAGATGTTACAAATTAATAATTCATCCTAATTTTTGAGTGTGTGTTTTTTTTAAAAAAAAGCTGGAGAGGCCCTATATTTTTTGTTAACTGAAGAAATCTGTTTTTAATATAATACTAATAGAGTAGATTCACCAGAGGGGAATTCCATGCTGACAGCAAATATTAAAATTTAGTATCATTAAAAATAAATGGTAAATTAGACTTATTTATAGCAGCTGCAGGCAACAGCTACAGAATATATAGATGGGGGCTCAAATCCATTAATTAACACACAATTCAAATTTGAAAGTCTCATCTTTTAAAACACCCTAGAAAGGCTTTATTGTATCTCAGAATTTGCAGACAGCAGCGCATTTTATAAAGGGCTCTTTATTCATACCTGGCAAACAAATGTGACTCTGTAACGTGTGAAAATTCTCAAATGTGAAAGTGATTAACAAGGGAGTAATGAGATCTATTTAGCGCTAAGAAAAGCACATTATTTACCAGCATAGCTTGGACTAATGACCCATCACTAGGGTCCTGACAACAGCCAATCGCTATTGCATTGGAGTTATGACAGAGCACCCGCTGACTTCCAGGACCAGCTGTCCCGTAAACTGGCTCCATAATCTTTGAGAAAAAACAGGCTAAATCTGGCTGCTATTTAGGAATTGATTTGGGAGTTTTTACAATTTTTGTGTGGGGATGGGGAAGGGGAATTGTAACTTCCTGTCACCAAGCAGTTGATCTGATGTGTTTGTTAAGACTGACTGTTGAACTCCTAGACCAAATGGCCCCAATTATGTAGTGTTAGAATAACATTTCTTGCTTTAGCTCATCTCTGGAACATTCAGTCCTAGAGGCAGATATTGTCTTTAAACCTCTTCTTGGGATCTGAAGGGAAAAGGAGAGTGGAAATAGTACCAACACATTCACTGGTGTGCTTTAAGAGTTAACTAACGAACATTGAACATCGAACATCGAACATCGTAAAGCATGATAACAAAACCAAATGCAGTGTAGCTCTTAATGACAATGAAAATGGTAATGTGACATATGCACCTGGCAGTTGTGTTGTACGGAAAACAAGAGCAGAAGGAGTTTCTGCTTCCCCACATGGTGATCAATCCAGGAAACATGGGATTGGACGGTGTGGTTGATGGAAAAGTCCCCTAACTCTTTGTTACTGAGCTTTGATACTTAACCTAGTGACCCTCCCCACTGCAACTCTGATACACCATCTTACACAAAACTGAGGTGTGGTGGAAGTAGGGTAGGGGCGGAGCAGTGTGGAATGTCCTTGCCCTACTCAGGTCACTGTTAGTGCTGCTTAAAAGGCAGATGGCCAGCTACTACTTCACAGAAACTCTGGTGAAGTAGGGACCCAGAAATCCACATTTAAACATTTCAACTGTGCAATTCTTGCTCTTAATAAAGTTTGAGACACACTAGTTCAAAGTTATGAACAGAAAATGCATATTTAGAGTTTGCTATAGTCTGCCTCTTCATTCAGGAATTTTTCTTTTTATTTTAATCATTTTTTAAAAGTTTAGCATTTCTTTAGTTCCTGATTACACTTGCAGAAGCCAGAGGGTTTTTCTCATTTTAATGATTACATGAAGAGCCATAAGAAAGTTGAGATAATAGTGGATTTTGCCACAGTTTATGGTCCAGTTATTTAAAGGCTGGGCAGCTAGTTGTAGAAAGTTCACTAGTCTGAAGTCCAGAGATTAGGGTTTGTGGTCAAGCCTCTGTCAATAGCAGCCATCATTAAATTATGGTGGGCATTAGTGTTTTCTAATCTACAAAATAAGAGGTGGTGGGCCACATCTCTACAGGCTCTTTTAATGTTTTAATTACAGAATTCTATTCAGTTGACTTACCCAAATCAGAAGAATTTCTGTCAGTTTTCATTTTGTAGGTTCTGGTTCTGGTTCTTTGTAATTTAGTAATCACGTACTAAATTATGGTTGATAAAGTCTACTGATCAAGTTGTATTTGCTTTAAATTTCTAAGGTATTTTAACTATTGTGCTTGGACCAACAAAACACTGCTGGTAACAACCCAAATAACTGTACATAGTTTTTAAAGCAACCAACTTGGGTACAAAGTCACATAATGCACAGAATGTGTGTGTGCATGTACGCCCTACACTGATTGTGTATTATCAGTACTTCTTTGTAATGAAGATTTCCAGCCACACCTTAATTACTCTAAGGAATTCATAGGCTTGCTTCTTTGTCTTTGTCCTTCAAAAAACAAAAAAAAACCATTAGGTTTTTCTTCTAGTTTTATGTACTCTATTTACAGACACTGGGGCTCTAGCATCTTGTTAGAATGAGCATTTTCTTTACAGTGAAAAAGTCTTTCCATCTTCCGCTGTTGCTGTTTGTATAGTTTTCTTCTGACTTCTACCTCTCAGTCTGTCCTGGAATTATTTCTTTATTTTTCCCTTTTCCCATACACTCTGTAGCTACTCTCCAGGTTTCTGGACATCTTCTTTTGAAACATCTTTTTCAGACTGTGGGTCTCAATTCATTAGTAGATCATGAAACCAAATTAGAGGAACACTTTTAAAAAATATACTTACTATTTTTAAAATAGTAAGTATAAGCATTGTTTGGAAAAACGTTTCAATTTTATACAACTGTCTGTATTTGTGCATGCTCATGTGTGTGTATTTGGGTGTACATATAAAATGTATTTTTTACTGTAGAGTGAAAAACGCTTGAAAATATTTGCTCCACAGGATAAGGTCTATGGCTTCTTGGTCCTCTAAGGAACTCCTCTACAACGTAACCACAGCACAATAACCACACAGTTTGCATTTCTCTTTTTGGTCTTGGTAACTACTGTGGCTAGACTGGCTACGCTCCCCAGTTGACAAATACTGCCGTCTAGCATCATAGCCAGGACTTACCACTATATATTTTTGGTCTGACCTACATCCACAGCCTTTTCTGATCTATGAAGTTACTGTCAACACACTGGGAGGTATTATTTATCTTTCTCCCATGGTTTTGGGTGACAAAGAATCACTCCTGGAAAAAATACCACTAGGAAGGTTGCCCTTTAAGAAACAACAAAACTCTTTCTCAGTGTTCCCTTTCAAGCTTATCCCTTTTAAATAATCCGACCGACAGGAATTAAAGCTGTGCATCCGCACACACCCAAATGTCTTTATAATAACTGAAAAATAGCACTTCAGAAATTCTTCACGTTTCTGTGCTCCATGTGGGGAATGGGGACAGAGACTGAGATGGGAATGGGAGAGACTGAAGAACAGCCTGAAACAGGAACATCTAACATGACACTGGCAGTTTCGGTAAAGAGAATTGAACATTAGCTACATACAGAAGATACCTGAGTGGTGGCATCGTGGGCACCCACTTAACCTCCCAGGGTTATAGTCATCTCAATTGTAAAATCAAGCTTATATGTTGTGGTAAAGCTAAAATGAGAAAGAATAAGAATTGGAGTAAGCAAACTGTGATGCAAAAGACTTGAAATATTATTTTCCAACTAAAACAGAAGTTTGTCACTTGCTTATGTAACAGTCCAAGGAGGACAGTCCCTGTTTGAAAGAGTCTTTAGAGAACACAAGCTGATGGTGACTCTGCCATTTTTATCATGGCCCCTATTCCAAGATAGGGTCATGCCATTACTGCTGGGGGAAAAGTATGAAGACACATGCCCGAAACGGTTCATGGGCCTGGCATGGAGGAAGCAAACACCACTTCTGCTCAGATTCTTTTAGCTAAAGATTAAGCGCGCGGCCACAGCAGGAAGGCTGAGGAGTGCAGTTCACTGTGGAAGACTCTGGTGACTAGCTCACAGCCTCTTTCACAGGAATTAACAGTCACTGGGTGCCTGGTATATACCAAACGTGCCACCAAATGCTGGAGATATAGTGTCTCACCTCATCCTCAGGCAACATTAGGTGTAGTAGGTAATACAATTTTAATTTTACAGGAAAGGTAAACTGAGGTCCAGAACATTTAAAGAACAGCTAAGCAAACCATTATCCTCCTTAATTTGGCAAACATTGAGTATTTACTATGATTCAGATGCTTTTAATGCTTCCAAACACACACACACACACGTGGTCTTTAATTGGCTTATTGTGGTAGACAGAATGGACGCCCCTAAAATATCTAGACCCTGATCCCTGGAATGTGTGAAATGTTATGTTACATGGCAGAAGGGACTTTGCAGATATAATTAAGGTTCTGGACCTTAAAAGAGGAAGATTATTCTGGATTATCTAGGTGAGCCACATATAATTCTATGAACCCTTAAAAAGCTGGGAATTTTCTCTGACTAACATCAGAGAGATGCAGCAGAAGTGGAAGTCAGAGGGATTTCAAGTGGAAGGAGAATTCCATGTGTCGTTGCTGGCTCTGAAATGTAGGCGGCATCTGTGCAAGGACTGGACAGAAAGAGGCCTCTGGGAGCTAAGGAGCAGCCCCTGGCAGCCAGCCAGCATGTAGGGGCCTTACCCTACAGCCACAAGGAACTGAATTTTGCCAGCAACCTGATTAAACTTGAAAGTAGATTTTTCCCTGGAGCTTCCAGGAAGGAACACAGCCATGATGACACTTTGAATTCAGTCCTGAATGACCCAATACAGAGAAATCCAGGTGAGCCACACTGTGCCTGGACCCCCTGACTCACAGAGACAATAAATGGGTGTTGTTTGAAGCCAGTAAGTGTGATTATTTTTTTCAGCAGCAGTAGAAAACTAGTGTGCTTCTTTTCTCTAAATTTTTGAAGGTGAATATTCTTATTTGAACTTTATGGATTGATGGAAGTGAAATTCGCAGAACTGGGATTTGAATCTGTATCTGTTTGGCTTCAAAGTAATTTTTCGCCCTAAGATATGCTTCTTTCCATAAGAGGTTGAAATGTATTGTAAAATGTACATAGTGCTATGTAAATAAAAGATATAGTTATTAGTATTAGGAGTAATATTGATTCTATAAATTTAAATAGGTTTTAAGAGTAAGTGACCAAAAAAGATATTGAAATATAGTAGACATGAAGGTAGTTTCATTTAAATTTTACTTTCAAATCTAAAAGAAAAAGAAAAGACAGCTCTTATGTTGTTAATTAGGCCTTTTTAAAAAAAATTGAACAAGCCCATTTTTGCTTGTATAAATGATTAAGCGATTCATTTGAGTTCTGTGACTTTGAGACAAAATCACATTAAAGCAAAGCAGGAGTGGACAGTTTAATGCATCTTTTGTTTTCCAAGAGACTGAATTGCTCTCTTGGTCTGACAGGTTGGATGAATTTTTTCTACCCAAGAATTCTTCCATTATACACACATATGTAAGGGAAACAAAGAAATAAGTGACAGTTTGGGATTTTGTGTGGATAAACCTGCACTGAAGAACAAAATTTACATGTGAAAAATTCTATTAATCTTTTATAATGATAAATCTTTGGGGAAAAAAATTCATATGAAAAAGCTAGTTACTGTGTATGTAGAATTCCCCCAACCTTTGCTCTTCAAGAAATTAGAAACTGAGGCTGCTATTCCCAATGTCCATTGAGGATAATATTTTCAGTTTATTAGATAATAATTTGTTCTTTGTCTAAACTCTAGACCTAGTTTCAGGCTGAGGCAGATCATCAAACAGTTTATCTTTAGATGATTTAGGTGAAAGCTGCCTGTATATCAGTGATTATTGTTCTGCTCTCATTTCTCTTCATATCTTCAGTCTCCATGCCTGAAATTCAGTATTCCAAGTGATTTTGTTTTCTGTGAAAGATAAACATGAATGCAGGTAATAAAGCAAAAATCTTCTTGCTTTTCCATAGTTTATGACTGCAATATCTTATAAGATTACAGTTACAGTAGCAAAAAATAAAAGAAACAGATGTAAATGACCATTTTAAAGACACGAGGAGTTCTATTTCATGTGAGTCATCATCTTTAGTACATCTTCACTGGACCTAACCTTTTCTTTTTCTCTCATCCCAATAGGAATACTATGATAAAGGAGATTATATTATACGAGAGGGCGAGGAAGGAAGTACCTTTTTCATTTTAGCCAAAGGAAAGGTAAATATTAATTATTACTTAAAGTAAATCAAAAAGTCTTTCTAAATTAGTTTTCCATAAATGCAACTGTGTTCTGCATTGAAGTATAAGAAGTCCTCTGCATTGAACGGGTAAAGGAACTTCTGCTCAGAAGAGTCTGATGGGATTTGGTCTGAACACTGGGTTTGGGGTGATCGATTCCAGCTGAGACAATAACTTCCTAGTGACCTTAGCAAGTCACGAGACCTTTTTGGATCTCATTTCATTGTGTATAAAATGACTGGATTATTTCTAAGATCATTTCTAGCTATAAGTGTGTAGTTTTCAGTCAGTCTGAGGGTCCATGATCAGGACTGGAACACTTTTCCATCCAACAGGTATGACAAGCAGCAGACAGTGGAGAATGAGCTCAGTAATTGTAGACAGCGATGGTTAGGCATCAAGCTATAGAACAGTTTGGCTCAGGACTTCATACACAATAGCTCGAATTGATTTAGAAGCTGATGAAAACTTTATACTAATATATACAATAGATCTTTTTCTTTACCTAGATATTGACTGGATAGCATGTTACCAGTTGTTCCTATGTTAATTCTTAACAACGGCCCTCAGACACAAAACAAACAAACAAACAAAAAACCCCACCATTTGTCAAATTTGGAAGAGTGAAATCTCAAGCACCTGTGTCTGTAAGCTGTCAGGTTTTTACAAATGTTCTCTCTTTCATGCAAAAATTTCTCATCAGAGAGTCAGGTACTGTCCTTTGTCAACTGGTTGGTGGTTGAACTTTGAACTGGGCCCCCAGTGAAGGAAAAATAAATTAACAAAATAGTTTCAAATCTCAGAAACTCTTCATCGCTCAGAACCAATTTTATCATTTCTCCTCAACCTGGATCCCATGCTTTAAAAGAATTCTGGCTAATAAACAAATTGAATTTAAAATTTTTTTAAATTCATCGTGTCTTCGATAAATGCGAATCAGAATTTCTAATCAGCATGAAGAACCCTTGTTACCATGTTGAATTGGAATAATTCTAGCCACAAACAAGGAAGACTGAAGTTTTTGTTTGGTTCTGTTGTGGAGGTTCTTAAACCTTCCTGGGCTGTGGATCACCATGACCTGTGAAAGTTTGTGGACTCTTCTTCATATCCACAGTTTTTCATTCCGTTTTAGAGGGTACATAGGATTCAGTGAGACAGTTTGTAAACACCAGATTCAGAACTCCTGATACTCAGCCCTGTTCTGATTAATTTGTCAACTATTTGGCGTTTTGAAACAATCAGATTTCCTATAGGACAATTATTATTTGCTTTAAATATCCCTAGGAAAAAGTCACTGGATTCACATAAAAATTTTTTGTTTGGGAGGTGAGGTTTGAACAGAGCATCTTCCTCTCAGAGAAGTGGAGTCATTTGATTGTGTTAAGTCACAGGATTTCTTAGTCCATCCAGGCTTGTTTTTTTATTTGCTCAGGCGAGTTTGTATAGAGCTGGAGGGTCTGGTTGAAGAGATATGTGCTCAGATTTTCCTTTTTTCTTCTCTTTCTTTTTAAATGTTCGATGTAATTTAGGTAAAAGTCACCCAGAGTACAGAGGGCCACGATCAACCACAGCTGATAAAAACACTGCAGAAAGGAGAATACTTTGGAGAAAAAGCTCTTATCAGGTGAATCCATGACTTTATACACCATACTAAAATAATTCTTTGATTGTTTTTGTATGTGCAACTACTCATTTAGTGTTGTCAAATTGAGCTGCCAAATTAATGGCAGCCAAAGTTCAGGAATTAAAAATTATAAACTGACTTCTAAAAAACTTCATTATTATGCAAGAAAAAAGTGAATCTCAGAGTACTATTTTTTGCATAGGAAATAAATCGGAAAGTCTTAAGTTTGCTAGTGAAAATAAGGTACTCTTTTAAAATTTTTAGTTTAAAAAAGAGTCAGAGAAAGAGATTAAAGAAATGGAAATTATAATTTTCTCTTAAGAATGAGTTTTTATATTTCCAGAGTTTGAAATGTTGCCCCATTTCCCCCTTTTAAAAATATCAAATAATGACTTTATATGTTTTGTGTGCTTTTTAATCATCATGACAAAAGTTATATTTTCTTAAGAATTTTTATTAACTAATTTTACAAGTTTTAGAAACAATCTAAAACAGTATATCTGAAATTTCTACCCGAACCTTAGGTCTTTTGAGGTATAAATTTATTTAGTGTTGATCTAACTTACAGAAGAAATATTTTCAAAAGTTAATCAAATAGCTCAGGAGGCACTTTGTACTTCCTGAAACTCAGAAAACAACCTCAAGTCTGAAGAAATACATTTTTGTAAATGTAAATAACTTTATAAAAGATCAAGTTAAAGTTTTGAGCAAAACCTTCTTTTGGAATCTTATGTGTTTTTAAATGAATACTTGAAATTAGTTAAGAAACCCTTACAATTTATATTATTACTAAATGCTTTCTTTTCATAAAATAAGTAAAATTAAATACTTATAAAAAGGAGTAGAATTTCTCTTTATCTACCTTCCTCCTAACTTTTGTCTAGAAAGCCCCAGTTCTGTTGATTTGTATGTCAGGATTACATAAGGGCAGAGCAAAGAAAAAGTGTTTAGAAATTAATATCTGAAGACAAATTTTGTTATTTAAAAATTATGAAGCTTTTATTTTTTATAATAAAATCTAACTATATGGCTCTTATGCAGATAATTTAAAAATGAAATTTAAAGACAAATTGAATTTTTCTTTCTCATTTTCTGGCTGGTAATAAACATGTTTCAATAATAGGGAAATTTTTCTTTTTTGTTTATTTGTGACAGACTAGAATACATCCATGTAATAGAATCATGTAATGTCATTATTCAAGACTTCAAAGTATTTGTTCTTAAGATTTACAGATTATTCTTCTCATACCTCCAAGCTAAAATAAAGAACTAAAGTTTGAAAGTTCAGAGAACTTTATAAATGCACTATAGAGTCAAAATAGCTCTTGAAAGGAAATATGCTGTCTGGTTTTGCTGGATATGAAATAATTTATGGTGTATGTTGCAGCTAGCAAATTACAGTATTTTCTCATGAGAAACATAGGAATTTATATTTAATATAAACATCCAACTCCCCAAAGCATTTGAAAGCATAAAGCTAAAATCAATGAGAAGGAGAGTTGGATACAAATATTTTTTACATTTTTGTGTACTTTTATGCTATCACTTCTCAGGGCCACTGATTGTGACTCAATATTTCTTATATTCTGTGTATTTCCATGACTTGACATTAAATAGTCCTGAGTTCTTTCAGAATTTTATATGCAAAAATAAATCCATGACACACAGTTACTATAAAAAGAATGTGTGTATTTACAAACATCTAATACTTAAAAGTGTTTCTAGAAAATATTCTAGTCAAAACGATGACACTGATAAGTGAAAAGGATGCCATACCTCTCTTTTTTGAACTCACAAATCAAATAGTTGGCCCACATCCAATCATATCTATCTATCTAACTATCTATCTATCTATCTATCTATCTATCTATCTATCTATCTATCTACCTACCTACCTACCTACCTACCTATCTATCTACACGTATAGATAGATATATAGATATGTACATAAATACAAGTTAAGTATAAACTACTCAGCTCCCAACCCAAAAGCTCATCAAGCTGAAGTGTTTTCACTGATGTCCTTTAGCAAGGACATTGTAAACTCGTAAAAGACTGCGGTTCATGTCAGAATGTCTCTGGATGCCAGCTATATGGATAGAGGAACTTCTTTGGAATGTAGAGATGGGCTGTCAAGGTTTTCTCTGTCCCATCATTAAAGGAAGATGAAAGAATTATACTTTGTGTGATGCCACTTTTGATGAAGTAGCTTGGAGCCTTATCAATATGCTTGCTATTCCAGGTTACGTTAAATGAATCTCAGAGCACTGGATGCCATATGGGTGTACCTTTTTTTCAGCATCTTTAGTTTATAACTAATAGAGGGAGGAAACTAATATAAATAAATGTCTCTAAAGAAACAGTATAGCCAATGCTTGACCCATTGGTTCTTATTAGGTTATTAAATTTACCATCGTTAGATCATATGCCATAATTTATTGCATTTAAGATATCAATTATAAGATGCATCACTATATTATGAACCCCTGAGAAAGAAAGGCAGTGTTGTTAGTTATACTATGATTCATCATTAGTCATAAGACATACTCTGATTTCAGAGATTTTAATGGAAAATATACATATTAGATTCTGTGAAATGGAAACATTTAATGTTATTTAATTCACTGGGTATTAGGGCACTAAAAACACTCTAGGTTTATTATATGTTAATTACTTGAATGTTTTTCCAATAAATTTCTTCAATCAGTTAATTTCAATTCTGCCTGCGTATTAATTAGCAATTCCCGTTGGATCAGAGGAATGCTATTTTATTTTGGCAGACACAAGTGCAGAAAGTTTCCATACACAGTTGCATTCATTGATTCCTCTCTATTCCCAGTGCAGTCATCTTCTCCTCTGAATTTCTTGTATATATAACTTTTTTGGGACACATTTCAAATCCTTTTTTTGGGAAATGGGTGGAGTATAAATTATGATATTAAAAAAAATCATAGTTTTTGGAAGATTTATGTGATGGTGTTTCATACAAAATAGCAGATTCCCTAATAAAAATGGATGTTTAATGTCTAACTGTAGAAAATTGACTTTCCTGTTTTTGTCTGCAGCGAAGATGTCAGATCGGCTAACATCATTGCTGAAGAAAATGATGTCGCCTGCCTGGTTATAGATCGAGAGTGAGTATACTGATATTGTTGGAGAAGGCAGGCTACTGTCACCTTTGAAGACTTGGCCTTCTGTTATTCCAAGGGCCCATCTGTCTTCTCATTCATCACCACTTGGAAATGCTGGCCAATCCTCAGCTGTGAATATATTCTATTAAAATTCATGGGAAGGAAATGGGCCTTCTGATCTGAATCTGTCTGTGGTAGTGGCAGATGCTGGCAGACTAAATATTTTGTGTGCAAAGTTTATATATAAATATCAGCAATAGATTTAAATTCTGTATCTTTCAGAGAAATAAGCTTACTAGTGCTCATGGATTTTTCCCACACAATATAGTGAATAACTTCATAATTTATTTTTAAAATGTACTAAGCAGTCAAAAATTTTTTTGAACAAAACTTGCCTCTCTCAGACAAAATATAAATTACTCATTAGCTGCATATATTTCCAGAGAAGTTTTAATTTAACATTTATAGTAATTTGCAAGTGATGTGTATCTATATTAATCTCAAAAGGTCTAGGTTATTTTTCAGTGTAAGTCTCACTTTTTGTCCTTAACTCACTTCAAATTATATTTGAATCTGGCCTTTTGGAGTTGAATATTTATTATCTAGTTATAATAAAAGAAATTAAAATATACCAAAGCTAGGCCTTTGTCTAAGAAAAGTCATAGTATAATCAAACAAATAGGGCATACTCATATGAAGTATTAGCAAAAAATAGTAAAATGACAAGAGGTATCACAAGGGGGTATATAGCTGATTGGTAATTGAATACACAACATTTATTTAACATAGAATTATAGAGATTTAGAGTAGTAAAGAACATTAAGACATTTAAAAAAATCTTTTCATTATGGGAAAATTCAAATATATTAAAAAATAGGATGATATTATGGACCTCATAATGCAGGTTCAACAATAATCGATACCTTATTTATACCACTTTGTCACCCTTTCCCTGCCTTCTCCACAAATTACAAACGTAATTATTTCATCTGTAAATTTTAGTAGCATCTCTAAGAGCTAAGTGTTATTTATAATGCATGACCACAATAACATTAACATACCTAAAAAGTTAACAGTAATTCTTTTTTGTTATGTTTTTATTGAGATATAATTGACATAACCATTATATTGATTTTAGGTGTAAACATAATGATTCGATGTATGTGTATATTGTGAAATGATCACCACAGTAAGTCCAGTTAACATTTATCATCACTCATAGAACAATAATTCTTAATATCACTTCTAGTTTTTTTAATCTCTCTATTACAGATAAGAAAAATGAGTCCCAGATCAGTTAAAGAATTGCCCCAATAGTGCCATAAGTGATGGAGCAGAGGCTCCTGCCCAGGGCTCTCCATTCCTTAGAGCATCCTTTCCACCCTGCGATTTGGCTCCCATAGTGTGTGTTCAGAAAGAGAAGCAATCGCAAAGCAGTAAAGAAGGCAAGGTTTTATTTTATTTTTTAAAGTGTGGAAATAGGCTTAAAAATTAATAGAAGTTTTTTAGGCAAAGAGAAAATGTGAAAGTCACTCTGGGTGAAGTACAATTTAAAAGCAAAGGCATAGCACTAAGAAAGTGCAAAGTATGTTCAGATAAAGGTGTAGTCTCTGGATGCCAGCTCTCAAATAGAATATGTTTTGGTACAGTATTGTCCCGATAATGCATTGTTTTGTGTATGAGTTCCTTAAAATTACATGCATGCACTAAATAACATTAGCTGTGATAAAATCTTATAAATTGCTCCAAAATGTTAGGACTAAAAATATGATAGAAAGGAAAAACATTTTTTCTTATTTTTCATTGTAATCACCTAATCAAATATTTATATACTATCTCATGTATTCATAACACACGAAAAGGATGCAGTGATTTTGTAGAGTTTATAAATTATTTAGGAATTTATGATTTTAGAATATTTAATTTACATGTGAATACTTGAGATTCTATAGTATGCAAAGTATTGTTTTAGGCACAATGAGACATAAAAGGTTATGTGAATTTATTTAATAAATTCTGTGGGTTGGGGAAGCTGAATATCAGGTATGACTAGGTTGACCTACATCCTGGATTTCCTGAGATAGTTCCAACCATATTTATTATTGGCACCCCCTCTCACTCTGAAAAGTATTCAATTTGGATTATAAATTATATGATTATCCTAGCTATGACTTATAGACTGGATTAAAATCTCACGATAATTCTCCCATAGCACCCTATCTACCCTTATCATAGTCACACTTAATTTAATTGCTTTCTTTAATATCTATCTGTCTTCCCACTCTTCTGTAAGCTTCAAGAGTACAGAAATACTTGTTCACTGCTGTGGCAGTGTCAGCATTTGACATAGTCCTTGGCATATGGGAAGTGCTCATCAGATGTTGGCTAAATAAATGGCACCATGCTTGCAATGTGACTGAGAGCCTATGGCTTTTTATTTTTCTCCTAAATCATTATTTTTAAAAATGCACAGAATGAATACATTACAAGGAGGAGAATTTAAGTTTGAACTATATTTCCTATTTTTAAAATGTAATAAAATGTGTGAAATAATTTTTGGAAACAACAGTAACTTTAAATGAATGGGAAGTGTTATTTGTAACATTGCCATTACTGTTTGGTTGTTGGGACAAATCTCCAAGAAGTTGATTAGTTACTCTTCAGTATATAACATCAGTATGAGTACAGGCTGCTTGAATGTGACAGGTGGAAAGTTGTATCTGTTTGAACTTGACGTTAAGTTTAGTTTGCAGAGAATTTTTAGTGTCACCTACATTTAAAAAATAAAATTTGTTTACAATAATATTTCAATTAGTTTAATAGCAAGCAAATAATGGTGACATATAGCACAAATAAAAACAAAACAAAGTACAGGAAGTATTTCCTTTTTACATGAAAATGTCAATTAGAAATTCCATGGCAATACTGTTTTATTTCTCACCACTCTACAGTCAACGAAGGACAGTCTACAGAAAAGGGTAGGGAGGAGTGGAGAGTAGATCTGGAAGGGAAAATGGAAGACACCCAGCACAGTATGTAAGATATGCTTAATAGTGGAAATATAGATTGGTTGTCAAGTAATTGTGGGTAGAAGTCTTTGGGGGTAGGCAGGCAGTGAGTTTTGATGGTACACTAATGAGGGGGTTAGCTTTAGTTATTGTGAGGTAAATTTTCATTCCTTTCATTTTGCTATGTCCAAGTGCTTAAGATGTTACCAAGATGATTGCAGCATGGCTTCTAGAAGGATACTATTTTGTGATAGGGAAAAATAGGGATGTTATTTTGTATTAGTACTCTAATAATCAAAATCAAGGTAGATTGTAAAGTATGGGGGTGTGGAAGCATTCGAAGGTTAATCAAGAAAATATATTTTACTGGTGAGGAAGATTATTTTTTATGTGCGAAGTGCTGTATGTAAGAATTCCTAGAGACAACAGACTGGGGGCAGGAAGATTAGATGGGGGAACCCAACAAATCTCTGATCGTTGAACAGTGAGGGAAGTCAGGAGAAGATATTGGCTGAGCCTCAGAGAACTGCTAAGTTAAGATGAAAAATTTGGATTTAATTATGAAGGAATGTAGAATGAGGAGTAGTATCTAGGGATAAAGAAGAAATTTTATCTTTGGTTTAAAAAGTAACTTAATTTGATTAAGCAAACATAGAAAATCTGTAACCTGTGTAACCTGTTGATTCAGTCAACAGATTGTGTAGGCTATTTCCTTTCCACTGTCTTCTAAAGGAAAGAGAGAGAGAAGGAGAGAGAGAGAGAGAGAGCGAGCGAGCGAGCGAGAGAGAGAGAGAGAGCGAGCGAGCGAGCGAGAGAGAGAGAGAGAGCGAGCGAGCGAGCGAGAGAGAGAGAGAGAGCGAGCGAGCGAGCGAGAGAGAGAGAGAGAGCGAGCGAGCGAGCGAGAGAGAGAGAGAGAGCGAGCGAGCGAGCGAGAGAGAGAGAGAGAGCGAGCGAGCGAGCGAGAGAGAGAGAGAGAGCGAGCGAGCGAGCGAGAGAGAGAGAGAGAGCGAGCGAGCGAGCGAGAGAGAGAGAGAGAGCGAGCGAGCGAGCGAGAGAGAGAGAGAGAGCGAGCGAGCGAGCGAGAGAGAGAGAGAGAGAGAAAGGAAAGGAAAGGAAGGAAGGAAGGAAAGAGAGAAAAGTTGTTGGTAAACCTGGACTGCAAGGCAGAAAACTATAGAAATGTTTTCTCACTGATAGCCTCTTTGCTTTCATAAACTCAGAGTATCAATTATATAACTTTTAAGAACTATTCTATGTATTATGGCAACACTGACACACATAAATTATTGAAAAACAATTTACAAAGCCTTGAATAACCATAACAGTCTTTTATGAGCTTAAGAAGAATGTCAAGTTGCAGTGCTGTCAGCACAGAGCTTTTAATTTAATTTAATTTAATTCAATTTAATTTAATTTAATGGCAGCATGTGGCTAGTGGCTACCCATTCAACCAAACAGTCGGGACTTTTGAAGAACTCCAAAAATACCTTGAAGGGTATGTGGCAACCCTGAACCGTGATGATGAAAAAAGACATGCAAAGTAAGTGGAGAAATATTTTCCTAAGCTAGATATGACTTCAGCAGTTGAGGAATAAGAGGACAAATGGGTGCGATTTATTATGCAGTGACTTTTAGTGTGTCTTCACTAGAAAGTTTGGGGAGTTCCTTTAAATTGTCTTCTAAAGTCAGTTCCTTATTTTGGGTGATGAGTAGTAATGGTAGGGTGAAATTTCCTGATAGGGAATCTTGGAAAAAGAATACTTCACATTGTCTGGTGACTTAGCTCAAAAGGACATTAATTAAGAAATGATGCCTCTCTTGCCTGTGGAAATCAAACAGGAATGCACTAGAGTAGCCCATTCTCTCTGATTTCAGGTAAGAGCTAGTAGTATAGTCAGAATTATTTAAAAAATATAAGGAAACTATCTATGGACCAGGGGTGTGTGTATGTGCGGGTGTGCGTGCGTGTGTGTGTGTATGAATGAGTTGGGTAGGGCTCTAAACATAGTAATACTGATAAATACTTTGTTTAATAGAAAAATCTACTTTGTAAAATTAAAATTATTTGAAAATCCTTTGCTAAAACATTTTATAGTGTGAATACTTAAGCATATGTTCACCAGATAGTATAATGAAAGCTGAAGAGTCCAGAGTTGTAGAAAACTGACATTTGAGTTAAATGAGAGCATTCAATCAGGACCTCTTAAAGCTTTTTTTTTGCAAGAAACATATTTGCAATTTCCATGCCAAAGGCTTTTGTAGAAGTAACAACAATTTATAAATATATAATATAGAGAGGTAAACCTTAAATAAAAGAGAAAAATGGATATTTCCAAATAATCATACTTAGATATAAAGAGATGTATTTATTATGTTTCACAAAGTAGTTATTCTGGTTCAGTCACAGAAAGCTTCAAAATCTGACAAAAATAGCAAAACAGCAAGGACTCTCAGTGTGGCATGCTCCTGTATGTGCAGAAAAGAAAATGGCTCTATGGCTTTATTTTCTCTCATTGACTCTTTAAACACACACACACACACACACACACACGCACACAAAAGATAGCTTTATTGAGATATATTTTAAATACCATACCATTCACTCATTTAACCTCTCATTGATTCAATTTGACATTTGTCTATTATTGCTAGTGTGTCAGTTTTTTGTTTGTATATTCAATTGTTTTTTCTCCCCAGACGTGACTGAATCTGACCCTGTAAAACTTGAGATAGGCTTTGTGGCAACTATGGGCAGTAATTACTCAGAAATAAGATTGCTGTGAGAGTAGAATTTGTGTGTAGTATTGACCCCTGCTTGACAAGGGGGTGTATGTAAAGTGTCACTTCTCTTGTACAGGAGATCCATGTCTAACTTGAAGCTGTCCAAAGCACTATCTCTGGAGATGATTCAGCTGAAGGAGAAGGTGGCCAGATTTTCCTCATCATCCCCATTCCAGAACCTTGAGATTATCGCAACACTGGGCGTTGGTGGGTTCGGAAGAGTTGAGCTTGTAAGGGGTTTACGTTTCAAGCATCTGCGAGAAGCCTTTTGACTTTTTTTGTTTCATATTCCAGTGTATCTTGGAGAACTATATGAATTGTTATTGCTATCTAAAATGTTGCTTTGAGCTGAAATTGAGAAAGTACACTTTTCAGTCTGTGGTATAGTAACAGGTTTGTGCTAGTAAATAACTTACAGCTGTTATTTCAAGCTTCTTACATCACATCCTCTGGTGAGTTTTTTTTTTTTTTTTTTGATAGTAGTTATTGGAAAGTGTACCAAGTAAGCATTTCCAAAGACTATAAAACATTAAAAATGTTATTTCCTAACAGCAAAATGTGTGTATACATACACTCATGACACATTAACCATCTGTATACTAAAGAAAAAAATGTGTCTAGTGGAAGTGCCATAGAAACAAAATCTTCAATATTATAGTTTCATCTCTTAAACAACTTCACTACCATGTTTGTCTTTGGCTTTCATTATTCTATTTTTGGGTTGCTCAAAATTTTCTATCAGGAAAAGAAAAAAAGAAAATGAATGCAAGGGGTTGTTTTAGGAGCAGCCTTCTGTAGTGTTGATCAGGACAGCTGGGAACATATGGCCTGATTTCAGCTGCATCTTCCACATCACCACCTCACTGAGCTTTTAACCAGCTTCCAAAAAGTAACAGAGTGCTAGTGTTAGATCAAGTGCTCCGAAGAAACTGTAGAATGGAGATCTGTGATCTGATTAGATACAGATGGCTCTGAACCCTTGGCAATTACCAAGCCCTTCTTTGCCGAGCAGATTTTTAATGATTCTCTGTGCATTAACCTCCGGGAACTATGCTGACACTTCCGCCTGCTGGATAGCTCTGGGCACGAGCAGATCTGAAATGCTGCCAGGAAACTCTGGATAGTACACTTCACACCCAGTCAGTAATTCATCTCTGATGCGTGAGGGGGGAAGAAACAATTTTTTAATAGGTCTAAGAATATTCGTAATGTTTCTTATACCATATGGAGAGATGAGGGCACTATCCATCTGCAGTGATATTATTCACCAAGGATCTTGGCCAAAGAATTGAATTAACAATACTGAGATCTGTTTTGTTTTGTTTTTTTCCTATAGTTAGATAATAATAATTGAAACAATAACTCTACCATTAATTTAAAAGTCATAGGTAGCACTAATGGCAAATGTGAGAAAACTATAAGGTGCAATCATTTCTGCACAATTTAATTATGTGTCAGATATAGTCTGCTTACGTTTTAAGCCTATCTGAATAAATACCTATTAAAATATTTTAATTTCCTTTTAAAAGAAAATTCTGTTTGTCCATCTAGAGCAGTGCTCTCCAGCAGAACTTTCTGCACTGAGGAAATGTTCGATACTTCACTGTCCGATAGGTAGCAAGATGTGAATGTTGAGCTTTTGAAACATGGCTGGTGCAACTGAGGAACTGAATTTTTATTTTTAATTAATTTAAAATCAAATAACCTCATGTGACTAGTGGCTATCATGTTGGATAGCACAGATACAGATCTTGATTTAATATGTTTTGTTTTGAAAATCAAAGAAGTAAATGTTATGAAGGAACAATTTTTGGCAATTCTAGTTGAAATTTTTTGTGCCACATTCAAAACTGAATAGATTTCTAAACATTAAATCTTTTAACTAGAGTTTTTTTTTTCTTGTTTCTATACAAAAATTTTTAGAACTATGTTCCAGATATGTGAGCTCTCTTGGAAATTACAATGAAGGGGAAGTGCGTATACCTCAATAAAACTCAGTCCCCAGAGGGATAAGTGGTTAAAACTTACATACAATTTAAATGTGAAAGAATTTATTTTAGCTCTCATTAGTTAACATATTTTATATAGATGTAAATCTTTCCTAGGAAGTTAATTTTGAGGGCTCTTTCTCCTCTTATACAGGTTAAAGTGAAAAATGAGAATGTTGCTTTCGCTATGAAGTGTATAAGGAAGAAGCACATAGTGGACACTAAGCAACAGGAGCACGTCTACTCAGAAAAGAGGATCCTGGAAGAGTTGTGTTCTCCTTTCATTGTGAAGTAAGTGAGCATTTGGCTTCTAGAACTTAGGATTTTAGGCTCTTATTTTGTTTCCATGCAAGAGGATGGACAAAGGAGGAAGACAAGGCCCCACTCTGAATTCTCCATCCCAGTCAATGCAGCAGTACATAAAATGTTGGAAGTTTGAGATCTGGAGTCCAGTGCCTAGATATTTTTATGCTTAATAAATAAGTGTGTACGCATGCGTGCAAGTGTGTGTGTGTGTGTGTGTGTGTGTGTGTGTGAAATTGTTGCAAAATAATTTAATTCTTTTGCAGAATTTGGGAAGCAAGGATTCATTCGAAATCCTTCAAGGAGCATGCTGCTATTGAATTCCTGCAAGAAGTGGCATTTGGGCCCATGTTCATTGCCAATGAGCAACAGACTATGGTCCTAGCGGAGCCTAGATGCTGAAAGATCCATTTCCTAATAGTTACTGTTTTATTTGTAGCTATCGCTAGAGTTTGAAAGAGAAATAATGTTATTCTAGGTCACAGCTATCTTTACTTGTAAATTCATGGGTTAGTGCTGTAAGCCAGTTTGTATTTTCATATATGTCTGAGTGCCCCAAAGTGTAGCTTTAGTGATTTCTGGGTGATATAAAGTGCCCTTTTAATGAATAGAATTTATACTTTTTGATCAAATGCCCTGAGAGAATCCATATTCCTGATTTTTTTTGAGATTAAAAAAGAGGTATGAACCCAGACAATGCTGGCAATAGAGTCATCCAATTATATTAATTATGTTCCTAAAATACATCCCTCTCTTTTTTTTCTTATCAATAATTAACAAATTATGATGAGCAGCTTCAGGTCATGGATTAGTTTTTATTCATTTTCTCAGTTCCTTACTATTCACATACAGTAAGGTAGTAATGATATTAAGAATAAACATTAATGATATTTATTGAGAAATTAACATGCGGCAGGCCTATGTTAACATGATACCCTGTCCAGGTCCAACATCGGGATTGAGGCTGTCATTTCCCATGATTCTGAGAGTGCTGCCAACTCAGGACTTTGGCTCAGTCTCTCTCTGGCCATTGCTCTTAGACGAAGAGAACTCCTTTGCCCGAGATAAGCCTGTCTTTCTGGGTACATCCTGCACCCAATGATGGCAGAGTTCCTTGAAGCTGAGACTTTTGTTGAAGCCCAGCTCTCCCTCTACCCAAATCTGCTTCCATCCCCCTCTGTGAGTGTCGTTCCCAGGTGTACTCCCCACTTAACTTACTGTTTACAAACCTCTGCCAATTAGAGGACCAATTAGAGGACATAAGGCACAGGTGTGAAAAACTTACTCAGGGCAGATCTCAAAGGAGATATATGCAGAGGTCTTTGGGTATTTGGAGGAAGGAGAGGACGCATTTGGTAGGTAGGATAATGAACTGCTTTATCAGGAAGGTAGCCTTTGAGCTTGGCCTTGAGGAATGGATAACATTTTTGTAAGAGAAACTGAGCTTACGAAGATGTCTGTGGGTGGAGGGCAATCTAAGTAAAGGGGTCAACATGGGCAAAAGCAAGGCAGTAGGAAAAATCAGAGTACTCAGCAAGAAGCTCAGAGTAACTGTAGGATGTTTGCATGTTCAAAACATTATTGATGATACTGATATTGATAGTAGTAACCATGTTTTTATCTGTCTTCACAGATTATATCGTACTTTCAAGGACAAAAAGTATGTATACATGCTTCTGGAAGCCTGCTTAGGTGGGGAGCTATGGAGTATATTAAGGGACAGGTAATGAAAAAAAGATTATAAACAATAACTTTTGTCTACTCACAACTAGTCTAAAGGATTATAGAATCATTTAAAAAGATATGAAGGAAGTAGTTAAGATTTGATTTTAATAACATGTTATAACTTGATAAAATAAAGTAGTAATACTGATACTTTCTTAGCCAACATTATAATCGTGTCATAGGCACCTTGTAAGGCAATTGTCAGTTTCATATTACAGATTAAAGAGTGTGAGCTATGCATGGTCACATAGTAAGAGACAAAGTAGGTATAAACCCAGATGTTTCTAATTTTGAATCTCTAGAAGAGAGATGAAGAAAAGTGGGAAGTGGTGAATCCCTTTCTGCAAAGCAGAGGAAGATGTCTGCAAAGATTCAATTTTACAAAAGGGGTCATTGTCAAAACCAACAATTTTTGCTGAGCACCACCTGTGTACAGTGCTCCACAGTATACAGTTTGGGGTTTTCTAGACAAAGTAGCTTTTTCTAACTAAAAGTAAAAAGTATAAACTTTTCCTCCAATGAGTTTGAATTTATTTGGAGAGATAATGTATGCAATTTAAAAGCATTTTATTATTTAATCTGAAAACTAAGCATGACAAAGAAGTTGGAAATTTGTAATTGAATGCCACATTAAGCTCAGAGGAGAGGAGAGACAGCAAAATCTGTTGGTAGAAGAAGGACTAGAGCTAAACTTTAAAGATGACCAAAATGGAGAAAGGCAGAGAAGAAGGAAAATGAATGTAAGATACAGAAAGAATGTTGAGATCAATTGGTCTCTTTGTAGATGATGAACAGCAGAATTTGAGTAGAAGACTAGGGCAGCAGAAAAGGAGATGGAAGGCAGGTTTGCACTAGGTTGCAGGAGTTAATGCCAGACGTTTAAACAGTATTACCTGGGCCAGTTGTTCTCAACCTAGACAACACGTTACACTCACACAGGGAGCTTTTACAAAGTAAAAATGCTGGGCCCTATTCCAGAGATTATGGTTCAATTCATCTGGGATGAGGTCCAGTAAATGTTTTTTTAAAAATACTTCTCAAGCAATTCTAATGTGCATTCATGGTTGAGAATCACACCCCTAGGCCATAAGATAACATCAGGCATCTGAGTAGAAGATGAATATGTTGTATTAGGAACATACTGTTAAACGGATCTGAATGAGGAGAACCTGAAAGGGTGAGGAGACTTGCAAGATACTTGCAGAAGCATTTGCATCACCCATCTTTGCTGCCATAGACAATTCTATGTAGAAAATCTAAATCTGTTTAGAAACGGGAGTTCCTACTTCCTGTTGGGCACTGTGTCTAATCCTCAAAATGACACTGTTAAGTAAGTAGTAAACCCACTTACAGATAGGGATCCGAGTCTTAGAACTTGCCCAAGAACTTAGTGAGTGAAAGAAGCAGGAGTCAAATCCAGTCTCTTTCACTCCAAAGCCACATCCTTCTATTATACTATGCAGCAAATCACCACTGCATTTTAGCAATTCAGCATGTCAGCCTTCACACAGTGCTGACACAGGGCAACTCTAATATCATCAAGGTGCACCAAATAGGAAAGATTTATGACCCTATTTCTACAGTTATTGTTACATACTTTGCAGACAAGAAATGCAAATGATCATTTGAATCATTTTTTAGTCAAGCAATCAATTATAAACATCTGGTTCAAGCTTGCCATTGAAATAGTTGCATTTTCTCCAGAGTTGTGTTTCTCCATAAATGTCGAAAAAAACTTTTCTCATCCTTCTATGTTCATATGTAATTACCAGAAACAATTGTTTAGATGTAGACATTTTAATTTTAGCGAAGTAGTTCTTGTTTGTATCAAGTATTCCCCTAAATTTCTCTACGATCAGTAGTCTAATTCATTGGCAATGTAAAGTACTTTTTAATGTTGGTGTTCTGTGAAACATTTATATTGCATAAACTTACCGATACAATAATTAGCACCTAGAACAGACAACAAAGATGTACGTCTATAGTATTAAGAGGGAAAACGATTTCATTGCAGAGGCAGCTTTGATGAACCCACCTCCAAGTTCTGTGTTGCTTGTGTGACAGAAGCATTTGATTACCTGCATCGACTAGGTATTATCTACAGGGACCTGAAGCCAGAAAACTTAATTCTAGATGCTGAGGGTTATCTGAAATTGGTAAGACAAATTCTCTTACTTACACTACCATATGAGCTATTTCCAAACACAAAGTTGTGTTATAGCTGCAATTTATTTTAATTTTGGTACACATGTTATTTTCACTTTGGGTAATAGAGCTTTTGAAATTGACGCACACAACACGGAGCTGTGTTACCAGCACACTTTTTTTTTGGTCTAGAAACTTACTGTTTCAACCATATTTGTGATTCTTACTAGGGATTCACATAATAGAATGCCTTTAAAATTGCATTTTGTTAGTGTTTTTGTCTAATAATTTTAACTAGATTTTCATAGATTCCTGCCACACAGAGGGACTGGCTGTAAAGGATAAAGGAAGAAGGTAGTTTGGCTCCTGCCCTGAGATAGCCATAGGGAGAAAAGATACACATGTGAATGTTGGTAGTATTTTTTTTAATCTTCCTAAGTGATTCTAAAGTACAGTCAGGGCTGAGAATCACAACACTAGAGTATAGGCTCCTTGGGGACAGAGAGCTTTCCTTGCTATCTATCTTTCTAATTCTCTCATGCCCAACATGAATCCTATTTCATGTCACACTAAAGAACAAAATGCGCTACTAGTCACATAAACTACTTTCAGTGAGAAACTATATTAGAATCCCATCAGGATGGGGGATCCAGGATGAGTTTTCCTGAGCCCATTTTCTAAGTACTTCAAGGACATTAAACCATCTCTGAACTTAACATTTACAAAGATATTCAGTTTCTCACATCAGAACTTTTATATATGGAAATAATAATAGCCACCATTTAATGAGTAACTAACTATGTGTAATGCTACTGTGGTAAACATTTTGCAATTAGTTTATTTAACAATCGATGAGATAGGTTTTCTCTTCTATATGTTACAGTACATAATTTAATCTTAGAAAGTATGTATAATTGCTAAGCAATTTCTCTCTATAGTAAAAGAGTAAAATTAAAGTCCTTTAGTATGAAATCTGGCTAACTTCCAAGAAACATTTTGATCTATTTAAGCTTATTTTACCTGTGAAAGACAGCTTTGAGAATTGGCGAGGTACTAACACAGGGTCTCAATCACTCCTTCATAATTCCTTCATTGGCTATACCTCTCACAGCTCTTTGGGTAAATCCTTTGGAATATTCTAGAAGTAAAACTATCACAAGAGATGCAGATATCCATTAGATTCATTTCTTTTTTTTCATAGCTGTTTTTAAAATGGTAGATAGCATATTCAATATTTGTAGACATAGAGGTCAATAAATTTCTGTTAGCTATTGTCATCCATCCTGTTAACTCATTTGCCAATCAACTAAATAAAGATTCATAACTAAAGCCTTTACAGATTAAAAAGTAAATGTGGGCTATTTCCATTTTTAGCTATATATCAAACTAGATATCCTAAAATCCTCTCACTACAGAATATCTAAAAATACTGGATGAAACATGAAAAGCAGTGTCACATGCATGGCTGAGTTTATAAGAGCTTTGGGATCCTCTTGAGGCTGGGAATCAAGCTTGAGCAGTAGCGTAGGGTGGAACTGAAACATTCAAGCTGCTGTCTCATGGGCACCCAGCAATTCCAGGTGGCCTCGAGATTTGATTTTATTACCTTCACCCTCTAGAAATAGGAGACCAAGTTTTGGGCCTGGGAAATGTGGGAAGTTGAAACAGAGAACATTGCACAAAGTCAAGAATCACATAGATTATACTCTCAGGGAAATAGAAAACAAGAAAAAAATCTTAATTATGAAGACAGAGTAAATACAAGAAGACATGCATTTCTCATTATTGGGCTCTTGGTAGAGAAATGGAAGTCTCTTCTAAGAATTCTTGGCCACAGAATGGTCTTTATGGAGGTTGGGTGCCCAATCTTCAAGGATAGAAAAACTCAAGCAAGAATTCAAATGAAAATGGAGCCATGTTGGTAGCATGCTCAAGCTTCCAAGAATAAATGTATTCTCTCTGGAAGAATGTACTCTCAGCTCAGGACTCTCAAGAGATAAAATTTCAGGGAATATGAGCTCACACTTAAAAAATAAAATTTAAAAATATATGAGGGAAAAAGTACCATGAACATTATTTGACACAGGCATATCACTGTTTAATATGTTGGAATAAGCAGATAAAGAATGTAAAATAAGTATATCTAATGCCTTTTAAAAAAAAAGAGAGAGAATAACATGAGTAAGGAATGGAGTCTCTCAGAAAACAAGTTTAGCAAAAACTAACAAACCTGTTAAGAAATTAAGAACATAATAATTGAGATGCAATATTCAGTGGAAGTTTTTGTTAATGGTAGAGTAGCTTGCATTGAACTAATCTTGCTAAGATTAGTTATAATACATGTAAAAATGTGTGCAGACATTGGAGAGCAACACAAGGTAGACTTCCCAAACCTTGAAATAAGGTAACCACACTGAGTCAAATCCACATCGATACAGCTTTTTATAGTTGTTCAGTTCAGGACACTCATTGTGTAAGGCATGAGGGATAAACCTTTAGTTAACATCATATCTAACAGAGAAATATTCAACATTTTACATTAGATTGTGAATAAGGCAAGAATATTTTTCTCACCACTTTTTTCAACATTGTAACAGGGGTCTTAGCAAATGAAATAAACCAAGAAGAAGAAATTAAAGGCCCAAGATTAGAAAAGAGGATGTTACTTGTCTTTATTTGTGGGCAGCATGATTGTTTATGTAGAAAAGCCTAAAGAATCTACCAAAGAAGTACTAGAAAGACTAAGTAAATTAAATAAGATTATAAAGTCCATATACAAATAAAAATTCCATTTTATATACTAGTGATAAATATTTTTAAATTAAATTAAAATACCATTATAATAACATCAAAAATTATAAAATAATTTCGAATAAATTTAATGTGTAAAAATGTGTAAGACCTCTACATTGAAAATCACAAAATATTGCTGAGAAAAAAAATAACTGAATGGTAAGGTATACTATGTTCATATATTGGATAACTCAATATTTGATAAGATGTCCTTTCTCAACAAAATACCTACAGATTCAAGGCCATACCATAAAAATTGGAGCAACCATTTTTTAGAAACTGAGATATTTATTCTAAAATTTACATAGGAATGAAGTGTTCAGAAGAGTTAACAATCACTTTGAAAGAGAAAAATTGAGAAATTTATAATACATGATATTGGATTTAACTATAAAGCTACAGTAATCAAGTTCAGTGTGATAATGGTGTAAGGATAGACAAATAGCTTAATATAACAGAACAAAATCCAGAAGTAGACATATGTAGTCAACTGATTTATGGCAAAAGGGGAAAGGCTAGTCTTCTCAATAGGTATTGCTGAAACAACTGGATATGCATATGTAGGGGAAAAAAATGAACCTGACTCCTACCTCACAATATATACAAAAATTAATTCAAGATAGATCCTAAATCTATAGAGCACCCAGAAGTAATCATTGAGTAATGTCTTTACGACATGGGGAAGAGATAGTAGATAGTAGATTGCACAGATAGTAGCAATCTTAAAAAGTTCAGGCTGCTATAACAAAAATATCACAGACTGGGTGACTTAAACAGCAAACATTTATTTCTTGCAGTTTTGGAGGCTAGGAAGTCTGAGGTCAAAGCTCCGGTAAATCTGGTGTCTGGTTAGGGCACGCTTCCTGGCCTATAGACAGCTGCCTTCTCACTTCTTCAAATGGGGAGATGGGAGAGAGAGGGAAGGAAGAAGATAGAGATAGACATAGAGATAGAGAGCGCTCTCCAGTCTCTTATAAGGCACCAATCCCATCCTAAGGGCTTTACACTCATGACCTAAATACCTCCCAAAGGCCCTACCTCAAAATACCATCACAATGGGGATTAGGGTTTTGACATATGAATTTGGGGGTGGGGGACACAAACATACAGTCTTCATCAAAATTAAAAACTTCTGATTATCCAGACACATTGTTAAGAAAATGAACAGTCATGCCATAGACTGGTAGAAAATATTTGCAATATATATTTATGACAAAGGCCTTGATTGTATACAGAAATATATAAAGAACTTCTACAGCTAGATAATTACAAGACAAACAACCCAATTGAGAAAAATGGTGAAACATCTTGAAAAATCATTTCACAAAAGTAGACATAGGAATGATCAATAAGCCATAGCAGTAGTCATCAAGGAAATGCAAATTAAAACCACAAAGAGGTATCATTTCAGACCCACTAGAATGACTATAATTTAAAAGATTAAGAGTACCAACCAAGTGTTTGTGAGTCATTCTCCAAAATTTCTAGAGAGAAAATTGTAAACTGTTTGAAGAATAATTTTGTTAGTTTCTCATAGAGTCAAATCTATGCCTGTTCTATGACAAGAAATTCCACTTCTCAGTGGAACCCTGCTCGGCAGCATAAAGGAATGGATTATAGCAAGCGATGACATGAATAATTTCAAAAACCATGTTGAGCAAAAGAAGCTAGACACAGAAGAGTATATTTTCTTTATGATTGCATCTATTAACTTTCTAGAATAGGTGGTAGAAATAAATACAATGATTGCCTCTGGGAGGAGCATTTCACTGGAAAGGGGCACGAGGGAACTTTCTGAGATAATGGAAGTGTCTGTATCTTGACTGTATGGTGGTTGTGGTTACATGAGTATAATCCTCATTAAAATTCAATTAACTGTACACCAAAAAAAAAAACCATGCACTTTATTGCTTGGGAATTATACATCAATTTGAAAAATGTAATAGGTTAAATAGCAGATGATTCACAAATAAAGAGAAAATTAGTGAACTCAAAGATAAACTTAAGTCATATACAATGTAGCATAGAGACACATAAAAATAGAAAATAAGAATAATAAGGTGACTTGAAGAATGAGGTGAGAAGTTCTTAAAATATTTAATTGGAGTCTAAGATAAAAATAATATAAAAATGAGAGAAGGCAGAATTTTTTAAAACACCAACCATCAGATAGAGAATCCCCAACAAATCCCAACTGGGACAAGTTGTATTTATTGTA